GAGCAGGGACTTGACTATAGCTTCTAAATTATTATAGATACTCTATTATAAAATAGAGTATCAATAAAATTGGGTGGCAACTAGAAATTAAGGCTCAGAGAGGCAAAACTAGTGGAGAGAGTGATTGGGGGGATTCATCAATCTGGCTTCTAGAATGATTATCCCTGCTATAGAATTTCCTAGAGCTGAAGTGAAATATGCTCCCAGTTGCCAGTTTTCTTGGTCTGATAGCATAGTCACCAAGCCAGATTTCCTCTATTGGTATTGGGAAGGAGATGGAGAGGGTGCTTTAAATAAGGAACACAAGCTTTACGGTCATTGAAACGTAGTATATCCTTATTATAAAACAATACAGTAGCAGTCAAGGTGGTATGTCAGAGTTGTGAGAATTTTTTTAAAGATTTTATTTATTTATTTATTTATTTATTTATTTATTTATTTTAAAGACAGAGAGCGAGCATGAGCTGGGGGAGGGACAAAGGGAGAGGGAGAGGGAGAGAATCTCAGGCAGACTCTGTGCTGAGCACAGAGCCTGATTCAGGGCTCGAACTCATGACCCTGGGATCATGACCTGAGCGAAAATCAAGAGTCAGACGCTTAACCAACTGAGCCACCCTGGCATCCCCAGATTTGTGAGAATTTTGTTGGCATGAGTCAATTGCTGAAAGCCTGGGCTATTTGAGAAAGTTCTTGTTCTGGACTTCAAGCCTATGGACCCCACTCTAGACTTAATGATTTGTTGACCGACTGCCTAATGAGAGCCAATCTGACAACAACTCTCCCAAAACATCCTCATTACCTAACAGTGGTGTTAAAATATTGATAAGACAACTGGTTGTTTTGGTGTATTTAATTAATTGGCCATTTCAGATAATTGTAAGAAAGGACAAAATTCCTCTACCCTCTTAGGTCCAGTAGCTGGCAGTGTGAAATTAACTGACAAAAGACAGATTCATTAGAGCCAGAGTTTATTAACATGTGCATTATGCATACACATGGGAAAACTCAGTGATGAGTAATTCAAAGTGGTGGTCAGAACTTCGGGCTCATATAGCGTCTTAACAAAAGAACAACAAATTTATAGAGAAGGGACAAAAGAAAAGGGGTCTAGGCTTTTAGAGTGGCAAACTGTAGGGAGGTAAATATATGGAGAAAACTAATAGAAGATAGGAATATTTAGTAAGGTTTGTTATGTAGATTCCTCTTGGTGTCCATCTCTGGGCTGATAAGAGTCTAGAGCTCCGCCGGGCATTAAGAGTTCCATCTTTTAGGGTAAAGGAAAGAAAGACACATTTATAAATTCATATCCTGCTTTCAGGCAAATAGGAAGAGGGCAGAGAGTTTTTCTTATACCTGTTTCTGCTCAATTGTCTCTAGCTCAAAATAATCCTTATGCCAAAGTGGCATATTTTGGAGTGGCATATTATAATACCCTACCTAATTAATTGAGTCAGATAAGTAGGGGGAAATGCCAGATCAGTTAAATGAATCTGAACCAAAAATAAAGACAATTATCAATTTTTTATTTTTCCACCAGTTGGGTTACATAGCATTGAGATGCTATTTGGTAGAACTCAGGTGCCTTCTGTGAGACCCTGGTCTGAACATGATGCTCAGGCCTGCAGATGCCTTTGGGGTAAAGGGAAATTGGAACCCTTCCTTCTCCTTATGTTCTTGGGACCAGATTCAGCTGGAAACAACTGGTCTCAGGAATGTACTGAATCAGACATCTACTCATTTCATCACATGGATTCCACCTTGTTAACTGATTTAATATCCCTCTCAGTTACTCTCTATATGATGCCTAAGCAGACAGTTAATTTGATGCAAATAATCACTCATATTGGCCATTTTACTGAATTTTTAGGCTGGTTTCTGCAAAATGAATAATCTGATTGTTAGCTCTTTTTCACTTGCTTTCGTCCTGATATTCTTGTTCTCATTATATTGGAAACTATAAAGATGCACAAAGAGAATCTGGAAAAACATACAATAATGAGCAATCGTCTTAACTATCCTCCTTTCAGGGATACCCAGGTTTGGAAAAATACAGTGGCAATTAAAGTAAGGCTTCCCTATGGGTAAGTGAACTGAAAAAGATTGGTGTTTAGTATGTATGTGGGTATCTGTGTGTGTGTGTGCATGTGTGTGTATGTGTGCACGCATGTGAGTGCACGTTTATAGAACTTGGGAGAAATGGAAATGCTGTTGGTCTGGATAGGGACTCAGGTGGCTGGGTTGGGGGAAGTTAAAATGACCCTGAAAAACTTAAACTGAAAAAGATGGCCCCCACACATTTAATTATTCCATGATCTGCACCTCTAATCCTCACCTTTAGAACCAGGGCATTATATCCTGACTTTTGCGTTTAATAATTCTTGTTTGCTTTCAAAGCCTCATCTGTGTGTCTGAGTGGGGGTGGGAGGGACAAATAAGATTTTTTTTCTGAACCCTGTATACTTCTAGCAGAGGAGAAAGTCCTCTCAAGAACATCATTTTTTTTTTTAATCTGGTCGTTTAAATTTTACTGTTAAGTAATCTCATGATAAATAATAGGTATTCACTAGAAAAAAATTGAAGTGATTTACCATTGTTTAATTCTGCTAGCCAAGCTGCACTTGCCCTGAAGAGCTGCATAATTTATTCAAATGACCTGAGGCTTTTAAAGTCAATCTTCCAGCAGAAAAATTAGCCCCTGGCCCCAGGAGAGTGGATTTTTTTTGTGTTGTATTGCTTCCTACGGCTGACATTTATTTGACTCTCAAGTGTATTTACATTGTTGGCTTAACTTGGAGTTCTTTGCTGAATCAATAATATGCCGTATTTCTTGCTTCAAGTGGTGTCGATATTATTGTTACTCTTTAAAAAAAAAACAAAAAACTTTTTCCCTTAATTCCCTGCAGTTACAAAGTTTTTCTTTGAGTTGTGAAAATTTTTGCTTCTAAAATTATGAGGAAGCCGAGTAAATGTTCTTTTAATCTTCTGGGAAATGTGTGCCTCTTTAAACTTTATTTACGTCAGAACTTACTGTAATGAAGGACAAAAGCTCTAGACAAGGTCCCCTGCTCCTCAGGGGTGTTCAAGGCTAGGTCTCCCAGAGGCGAGCCTGCAGTTTGTTCTCAAATGTTTATGGCTTACCTCCTGGCTGTTTCTTTGCAACGGGCCCTAGAGGGGGCTAGAAATAGAGCAGGGTGGGAACCTGACCCATCGTGACCACTCAGGGGGCTCTGGCCTGGAAAATTCCCCTGTATGTGGCAAAAACAAACACTAGAAATGGAGGGAGAAACTAGGCTTAAACAAAGAGTGAAACCGGTTCCCATTTCATCTCTCCTGCCGATAACCATATGTGCCCGCTCATTTGTTTCCCAGACATCAGTGCTCCATCATTTGGACAGAGCCTCCACCTGAATCTGTCCAGAGCACAGGAAACAAATATTTTGAAATGTAATACAATGGTGTGTATGGATCTTAGGAGCATTTCCTCAATGCACAAACTCAGTCTAACCGAAAGAGTCACCAAGATGGTGGTGTGCAAAGCTTTGAATCCTACTAATATTTTTCAGGGAAGCGTGACCTCTTCTTTCTGGTCCCATGTGCCACAGGATTGGCCGCAATATGGGGAATAAAATTAAGAAAAATTTGTTCTCCCACATAACAATCCTTCAAACTCTTTTCCCCTCCTTTAGTGTTTTTGTGACAGCTTGTGAATGATCGGCTGTGGTTTTTTGTAAATGCCGAACGTTTTCTTTTTGCCAGGACAAAGAAAGAAAGGGCCAGCGAGGGCTCCCTCCTTTAACGTGGAGGTTAAGAGCATGGACTCTGTCATGAGATTGCCTCGGTTAAAATTCAGATGTCCTCCATTTAATAGCTATGTGACCTCAGGAAAGTCATTTAAACTCTGTGAGCCCTAGCTTCCCGATTTGGAAAATGGAGGTAATAGCAAGACTTTATCATTGCATCTACCATATGTGAAGCATGGTTTCAGGCACTTTTAAATGTATTAGCTCATTTAATTTTCAGAACTCTGTGATGTAGGTAATCAACATCATCCCCATTTCTCAGATGAGAAAACTGAGACATGGAGAAGAAAAGTACCTTGGCCAAGGTCGTAGGATAAGGAAGTGGGTATAGCTGAGCTTGTGGAGCCTGGCAGTTGTATCCTAGAGGTCCTGTACCGACCAGTACATTCCATTGGCTCGCTCTGAAATTACTGAGCACTCAGCACAGTGTTTGGCACTTAGAGTTTATTGTTGGCTGTGAGTCTCACTGCCGTCACCCGTCCCGATCTTTCTTTCTTTTGTCACTCTTGCGGCTGTGGGACTGATTTGTAAGTTTGGTCACCCCCACCACCGCCAAAAAGAAAGACCTACAGTGATCTGAACCGTGGGGGTTGCTTGATCCCTCTTCACCTTTGTGTGCTTTGTATTGAAACCACAAACAGGACAGGGACCTATGAAAGGAGACACTATTTGCTAATACCTCTTTTCGAAGCCATGAAAATTCTACCCCTCCTATCACCACCTCTCCAGCAACCAGCCAACAAAAATTGCTTGAAGCATGGGAGAAGTTTGAGAAAGTTGAGACTTTGAGTAAAGTCGCTACTGTTCTTTAATGAACAGAGGTAAAAAAAATCTCAAAAAGTAATGACGGTGGTAACAGACGTTGGTGGACAAAGGTGCTGCTACCAGAATACGTTCTCTATTCCCCACTCCTTAACTCGCCTTAGAGTGTCAGTATCAGGGAAAAGGAAAGAGAAGATTCTGCAAATAATTATATTCTTCTTTTAAAGTAAGCCACCGATTTCAAAATTCTCCAACACATTTGTGGAAACTTCATTTTTTGGTTTGAGATTTATTTGAATGAGCTGTTATGATTGGAGACAGTGAGAATTTCAGATTAATGTTTTGCAGCCAAAAAAAGAAAAAAAAAACCTCTCTGAAAACGGCTGGCAAGTGTTCGTAAGTCAGCCCTAGAATTATGTAGGTTGAAGGCTCCCAGTGGACAGACCGAACATATAAGAAGGAAACCAGAGATCTCGTGCTATTACGTCCCCGAGTCTAAGGGAACGAATAAGCACAGACCTAAAAGCATTAAAAGCATTCTTCAGCCTGAATTTTTAAGGTAGGTCTGCACAATTTCTATATACTGTATCTGGAGAGTAGAACATACATTAAGTGAAAGTGGTTTTTTTTTTTTTATGGATGAACTTTCCCTTTTTCCTGTATTTTAACACTGTATTTTTGCAAACCTCCTAAATTCTTTCCCCGCTGTTTCTCTTACAGGGGTGCACGTAGGAACTAGGCAAGCTGATTTATGATAACTAACTTTTAAACTCCAACGACCAGTAAGTCTGCAAGTGGGTTTATTTGAGATTCTTTCATGTTACTTTGTTAGGTTAAGATGAGGAGAGAGTGAGCTTTAGACAAAAATGATAACTTTGCTGTTTACTAGGAGATTCTTTGGTGATTGCGGTTCTTATTGAGTAGTTTAGATGTATTTTGAAACTATCAAAAGTAATAGTCTTTCCTTTACTGTGTTTATCTTCAGCTAATTTTCTTTTGTTTTAAAGTAATGCTGCTCCTAAAACAACAACAACAACAACAACAACAAAACCCAGTATCAGAAAAACCTGAGCACTGATTATAACATTTGAGAGCCATGTAGCACTGTTCCTATTTTATTGTGTTTAAACTGAAATGATAGCAAAGGAAAAATGATACAATTAGCTCATGATTCATCATTGATGTTCAATTCTTATTTCATTGAGCAACCAAAACTATTTCTACTTGACTCTAGATCAGATTTGGCTATTTTTTTTTTCTTGTTCTTTTCCTAATTGAAAAAGAAAATGAATTTCCTTTTAAGCAGATTCAACATCTAGATCGAAAACTAATAGTCTCTATTAAAATGTTCAGGGGGCTTTTAGAAATACGGACCTACTCCGGAGCTCCCTGTTAATGATATTATTATTATAAAAACAATGGAAAAGTAGAAGTAAAGGAATTCGTGTTAAATTAGTAAAAACCAACCCTACCCCCCATCGCAATATGTTCCTTTTGCATATTCTCTTTCAGTCTTTTGTGCCCTAACTTATTTTTCCATAGCTTATGTTACTTATATTTTCCATAGCTGTAATGATTTGTACATAATTAGTTACTTGAATAAGGCATTTCTCTATGCAATAGCAGGCAGCGGTGTGGTTTCTAGAAAGTATACAGCCTGAGATATGTGCTCAAGTGTTTTTGAAATGTTAATTTTTCTTATTTCTTGACTCCTTCTTATTTGTTTCCCCTATTTCTTACCCAGGCTAACCTTTTGAACTATTGATTTCCTTTAAGCTTTTTGAAAAGATGATAGAAATGATGGGCAAAATAGAGTTTTGTTCAGCATTTTCAGTCCCTGAGGCTGAAATGTCTTACCTGCTTGGTACTGTTGAGGAAATTCCTTTTTCTTCTTCAAGAAACAAAATCCACTCTTATTTCACAAGGCACGGTTGGGCTTCCCAGTGTTTTCTATATTCACCCACCTTTTCTTTTTCTTTCTTTTTTTTTTTTTGCTTTCGACAAACTTTCAAAATGCTAATGATTTAACAATGTCCTACACTCCATATGTGTTCTGGGAGTTCCATTTTTTTTTTTAATTTAATTTCCACAGAAGGCGTAAGAAGTAGAAGCTACTGAGCTTGCAATATGAAGAACGTCACCCTGGCCACCATCAGCAAAAACATCACCAACAGCCTTCACTTCGGACTTGTGAACATCATTGGCAACGAGTCGACCTCTAACTGCTCGCATAAGCCGTCAGATAAGCATTTAGATGCAATTCCCATCCTCTACTATATTATTTTTGTGATTGGATTTCTTGTCAATACTATTGTGGTTACGCTGTTCTGTTGTCAAAAGGGTCCTAAAAAGGTTTCCAGCATTTACATCTTCAACCTGGCTGTGGCTGATTTGCTGCTTCTGGCTACTCTTCCTCTCTGGGCAACCTATTATTCTTACAGATATGACTGGCTCTTTGGGCCTGTGATGTGCAAAGTGTTTGGTTCTTTCCTGACCCTGAACATGTTCGCAAGCATTTTTTTTATCACCTGCATGAGCGTTGATAGGTACCAGTCTGTTATCTATCCCTTTCTGTCTCAGAGAAGAAATCCCTGGCAAGCGTCTTATATCGTTCCCCTTGTTTGGTGTATGGCTTGTCTGTCCTCATTGCCAACATTCTATTTCCGAGATGTCCGAACCATTGAGTATTTGGGAGTGAACGCCTGCATTATGGCCTTCCCCCCTGAGAAATATGCCCAATGGTCAGCTGGGATTGCCTTAATGAAAAATATCCTTGGTTTTATTATCCCTTTAATATTCATAGCCACATGCTATTTTGGAATCAGAAAACACTTACTGAAGACCAATAGCTACGGGAAGAACAGAATAACTCGCGACCAAGTCCTCAAGATGGCAGCGGCTGTCGTTCTGGCGTTCATCATCTGTTGGCTTCCCTTCCATGTTCTGACCTTCCTGGATGCTCTGGCCTGGATGGGTGTCATTCATAGCTGTGAAGTTATAGCAGTCATTGACCTGGCACTTCCTTTTGCCATCCTTCTGGGATTCACCAACAGCTGCATTAATCCCTTTCTGTATTGTTTTGTTGGTAACCGGTTCCAACAGAAGCTCCGCCGTGTGTTTAGGGTTCCAATTACTTGGCTCCAAGGCAAGCGAGAGAGTGTGTCATGCCGAAAAAACAGTTCCCTTAGAGAAATGGAGACCTTTGTGTCTTAAACACGAGAGTGGAATACATGTTCACAACACGGCTACTTGGTTCGAGGGCCCCTTGAAGGATCGTTTAATGCCTTTAGTCAAGGAGTAAGTTTCTCCCTTAATGTAATCTTTTCTCACTCTTCTAGAACAGGAAGCCAAATATGACTCGAAGTGTTACCCAGTGACTTTCAGGAATTGCCCGGTTTCCTTCAGTTTCTGGGTACAAGACTGTCATTGGGAGGACAGAACCATAACCTAGAAGTCACTGAGGGGTTATCTCAAATGATAATTAATAGCAAATTGTGACTGGTGATTTGGGGTTTCAGATTTCTCCTTGACAGATGCTGAAATTGGTTTGTTTTTTTAATTGGTTTTTATATCTATTTTCATCAGGCTTTCCTCTCGAACCAAGGCCAGTTTTTTTTTTTTTAACTCATTGCGTTATTTACAAGACATCATGCTAAGAAACATGAGCATTTCGAAGTGAAGTATACTACAGTATTGGTATTGAATTATTCAGGCTCTAGGCATATGCCTTCTACTTAAAAATATTATAAATAATAACCTTTTACATTTTATTTGAGCACAGGTTGATATTGAAGATATAGCTACATATCAAGTAGGGCTAGGGATGTAGATTAGATCACCTGTACTGCATTTATCTTATTTTTACAGTTAGAGCAAGTATAATATGTAACAACATAGATTTGAGATTAACAAATATTTGAGTGTTCACTAAACTCTGAATATACGCTCTTTAGAACTTTCTATCCGTTTTAACTATTGTTTGAAGATTTCTTTGTTCTCTGACAATTTTTTGAAAACAATTAACTAAACACTGTGTCGTGTTATAAGATGTAAAGGTCACTTTTTACATCCTTGACCTTTTGGTGCTTTGATATATAGGAAGTTGACTTGACTGTTGTTATTGATGCTTTGGTTCTGGGTTGCTTCCCAAAATATCTGGAGGGCTTCTTTAACTCTTTAGTTTGTAATAAACCTTTAGCAGGCATGGGAAAAAGTTATGCCAGAATGGAGTTTTGATACCCAGGGAGACAAAGAGATCCAGCAAATGACAATTTTGGTGCCACACAAAAAAACCTACCTGTCAGGGCAGTGCCATGTATCTTTGAAGGTAGAGACCATGGGGTAGTCTGAGCCTATACCTAGGGCTTCTGTTTCTTCCAGATTTTATAGGATTCTGTGGCACTCTCTTAAATCAATCGCTGGTCCATGGATCTCCTTTTCCACACTATTGGAACTCCTGTCGGAGAAGTACCTAAAACTGACTGAGTTACCTAGCGTTTACTTAGAGTATGAGTCCTAATTTTAGAAGTTAGACATTTTATTCTGCACCAGCCCCACATTATACCAGGTTATCTAGGACCTTCCTAGACCAATGCTGACCTCTGAGGTAGAAATAAAAGTTTCAAAGATTTTGTGTGTCTGCCAGGTTCCAGGGCTATAGATTAAAGAATTCTCTCACCCCACTTTCTGGGAAATGCCTAATTTCATGTAATCTATTATTATCAACAAAATAAATAGCTAAATGTGTAACTGACTCTAACTTGACATTTTAAATAATTTTGTAAAACATTGCATATAAATAAAATCTTTAATCGGAAGATCATGTGTACTTACTTTTTTTAAAAAAAAGAGTTATTTATTTGAGAGAGAGAGTGGGGAGGAGGGGCAGAGGCAGAGGGAGAGAATCCCAAGCAGACTCCACACTGAGCACGGAGCCCGATGCAGGGCTCAGTCTCACGACCCTGAGATCATGACCTGAGCTGAAATTGAGTGGGATGCTTCACCGACTGAGCCACCTAGGAACCCTGTACTTACTTTTTTTTAATTTATAGATTCTTACCTTTTGTTGTATGTGTATCCTCCTTACAATCCCTACTGATACTTTATTGTTTCAGTCCCCATCATTCCTTATCTGGCTTCTTCATGGACTCTTCTAAGTCTCTCTCTCTTGAGTCTTCAACCATAATTTCTTAGTAATTATGAAAGGAAAGTCCAGATTGCTATCAGCAAGACTATAAGAGATCTGATCCTTCCCAGCTCTCCTGGTTTTTTCTGTCTCTGCCATCTCTCTCTTATACTCTATGTTCAAGCATCACAAAAGGACTTACTGCTTTTTTAAGGCCTAATGTTCTTTCATGCCCCTCTGCTTTTGTTCACACAACTCTGTCTTCCTGAACACCCCTTCAATCATTCCCACCCCTAGGATCCTTCATTCAAATGATGAACACCTACTCAGCCATTATCATTCTGCTCATGTCAATTCCTTTACCACCGTAATATTTATTATACTAATTACAATACAACCCCCCCTTCCCTGGGAGCCCCCTTAGTAAAGAGAATTGTTTCATTAGTTCTTGGGATGTTAAGCCTGGATTCCACTTCCATAGGAGGCCAGTATTGAGCCCTAAGTGGTTCTTTGAGACTTGGACTTTTTGGGGACTAAGAAGAAATGTCAGTCAAAAAGGTGGTGCATGAACATGCGAACTCGGACTGCAGAAATGTACAAAGGTATAAATTCCTCTTTTCTCTTTACAAATATACATTTCAGGTAAGTTTTTTCAGACAGCAAATGAAACTGGTCTTCTCATTTGGCCATATTTCCAGGTATTACCTAATCTCCTTCCTTTTTCTATGGGCCTTCAATTATGCACCTCACCTACACAATGCCCAGGAGCCTCTTAATAATAACAGCAATAGCTCCTATTAGGTGAGCATTATATGCTGTATACTATTACACATATTTTTATGAATTATCCCATTTTATTCCCACAATGACTCAATTATTCTCATTTTGCAAATGAGGACACTGAGGCACAAATGAGTCCCTAATCTTGAAATTTGGCTCTAACAGCTGATCTGAGTAATCCCAACAGCAGTATTTAGTAGTTTAAATATGGATCCTAAGCTACCAAGCAATATTTCAGAGATGGTCTTGCACAGTCCTTAACCCTTCCCTCCAAACCTCATTGCTTGCACACCCCTGACCACAGCAGTCCAAGAACTCTGGGCAGGGGGCATATTTGCACCCATGGAGAAAAGGGGAAGAGGCAGATGGTTGAGGCTTTCTCTCTTATTCTCCACTGCCCTTTTCTTGTGCTCCATGCTGTAGAGAATTGCATGAAGTAACCACTACCCCTTGCTGCCCCCACTACCCCATACACAAAGCAAGACAGTCACCTCAAATATTTCTTTTGAGCAACAAAAAAACTTCAGCTCTGAGAAATGAGATTATATGGGATTACCAGAGAAATTAATCTCTTGCAATTTGCAGAAGGAATATGCATTTTTATTATGGAAAGGGAAGTATTAATTCTTCCTACATTTTATGTCCCTAAATGAAGTCTACTAAATAGAATGTCTTGGAAAAATCCCTTTTTTTTTTCCTGACCTTTTGCGGCCTGTATCTAAATGAAAGAAATTCTGAAGGAAAGCACACTGTATTTTGACTTTTCTTCTTTTTCCCCCATAAGGACCCCAGAGTGGGAAACTGTTTGGTGGCCTCACATATCAACAAAAGAAAAATCCAAACTTGACAAGTTGAATTAACCACATGTGTTGACCGAAACAAGAAAGGGTTGAGGTAGTAAGGAAAGTGTAACAATTATTTGTTAATTCATAGATGAACTACATCAGCAATAATGACTCACATAAAAGAACAGAAATTCGCATGCCATCACTAAAAATAATCACTTGCCCTGCAAAAGACCAGTGGCATATAGCTGAGTTGACTAGCCTTCTATACATTCATGCTCACTTGCCCAAACATATTACCGACGAAGGTTAACATTCTCAGAAAGAAAATTCTTCTGGGATGAGAGAATTCTTTTCAAAATCAGAAATAATTGATATGTATTTCTTATTAATCAATATTTTTTCATTATTGAAAAATGTAACTATGTAGATTAAAAATTAGCCTTGGAGATAATCACTGTTAGTAGCATGGGGTAAGGTTACAGCTGTACATGTAGACACAGATATATATATATTATCTTATTATAATATATTAATGTATTACATATATGCGCATATACTATTTATTTTTTATCTCTTTATCAGTATCCATATTTCTCTCTCTTTTCATCTATTATTATCTATTGGACATAGCCTTCATCACCCCGTGGTATATTTCCTTTAATATTTAAAATATTCTGACCCCAAACTCCTCTTTGGGTTACTAGAAAATAGTCTTTCTCCCCGTTTAGGTCCTCTTTTCCTATGGTAAGTCCCAAATCCTCAGAGCTTTAAGCAATCCAAGAGATTACACCTGGTTACTGTTGCCTAGTGGGGGAAAATATTGGAAAATCTGATAAGACCACTGGCCCACTTTCTGCAGTGGTTGCTGCTGCATTATTTATCAGTTGGTGCACACGAGAACGGATGGCTTGGTAGTCTGGTGCAGACTCTGGTCCACTTCAAGGAGTTTCTAAGTGATCTATGCCTAAGCGATCGGATAGAGTGTAGGAGAAAGAAAAAGGAAGCCTCTTTCCCCAGTGTTACACTCACCTATACCTGAAGCATGCCCCAGTAGACAAGGTCTCAAAAGCATCTTCATTAGTTTGGGCATCTCCATAGAGAAGGAGGGATCAGAAGAAATCTAGCAGAAGAAACAGGTCGTACCAGGACCCAGTCCTCCCCTTTCTTAAATGAAGCTCCTCTGTGCAGCTGTATCACAGTTCAAACTCCTTCTCAGTAAGAACAAGTATTCCTGGTTGGGAGAGAAAATAGGTAGTAGGGCTGATGTAGCTTCTTGATTGATGACACTAGGAAGCGACACCTTAGTGCATAAGATAGACCGTAATAACTTTGAACTTCTTAGAAGAATAGGGTCTAGTACTAAATTTCCTTTTTTCTCAAAAGGCCCCTTTGCTAAGTGCCTCTTCCCCCAAATCTCCAAGCTCAATACACCAATGAGATACAGTTGACATAGCTCCGTTTGCCTGAAAAGTTGGAACCACCAGACCATTGCCAACCCCCTAAATTCCCAGTGCTAGCCTTCTCTTTGAATAATGGATCCTTGCTTACTCTACATTCATTATCACTGAAGTGATCATTCCCATAACAAAAAAATCAACAGTGTTTCTTGATGTTTTAACAACTTGAAATATTTGTAGATAATAATTTGAAATGTTCTCTCTGGGTATGTTAATATCTATTGTTCTGTCCTGAATTGTGTCTCCCTAAAATTCATATGTTGAAATGAAATGTGATTAT